GTGTGTGTGTGTGTGTGTGTGTGTGTGTGTGTGTGTGTGTGTGTGTGTGTGTGTGTGTGTTGCATGCAGGAAACCACGCCTGCACTGCCTGACTTCAGGGATGAAAGAGGGCTGTAATGATGGAGGCAGAGACTGAGTCAGACAATCCTGTCAGTGTTCAGGTTTCTGCTCCCTCACTGCTCCGTTTAAAATTCTTTTTCCTGTTTTTCATTTTTTAACTTGAGCTGCTGTCAAACACTTCACTTTACTCGTTTACCTCAGATGAGGTGGAGGAAATCAGCATAAAATATGGAAGCGCTGACTGAAAACAAGACTGATGAATTAGATCTGTTTTTTGAACCGTCTTCACTGATTGTGTCTTTTTTTTAGTCTTCAACTCTCTCGACATGTCTCGGTCGGTGTCGGTGACGGCCGCCGGTCAGTGTCGTTTGGCTCCTCTGATTCAAGTCATCCTGGACAGCAGCCACCTGTACGATTACACAGTCAAGCTGCTGTTTAAGCTGCACTCCTGTGAGTCTCACACCAACACCAATCAATCTGAGAGCATCACTTATACGTGTGGATAAAATACAAATGTGCTGCTTTTTATTCAAGTTTTATTAGTATAGAAATTACTTTTTTTTTCTTATTTCCACTGAAGCATACACCAAAGTTAAGTCTTTAACAGTATGAGTTCATGATAGGCCAAAAGTTGTTTTGTTTTCCCTAGTTTTAGTCCTGCAAAAGCTGTTTTAATGACCCACCGGTCTTTTAAAATCTTTCAAAGACCCTCAGTTAATTTTGAAACGTGTAGCTTCTGGTTTCTGAGATATTCACGCATGCAGCTATTTATTCCTCAGCACTCGCAAAGTTTCCTGAACTCTGCTTTGATGTGTTTTCAGGCCTTCCAGCCGACACTCTGCAGGGCCACAGAGATCGCTTCCAGGAGCAGTTTAAGAAGTATGCCGTTCACTCACTCACAAACAGACGGCTTCTCTRTGCACTCTGAAGCTAYGTTCACASTGCAGGCAAATGCAGCCCAAATCCGTTTGTTTATTGATTTTTACCAAAAAATTTGAGTTAAGCATTACGACCCGCAGTGAAAACGTAGCCCAAGTCTGGCCCAGCAGACTGGATTCTTCAGTCCACGTTGAGTCACTTTCAGTCAGACATTTCTCCTCTCTTCGGTCTCCTCTTTGTAATCTCAAGGCCTCTCTGATAAATCCATATCTTCTCTCCGTTCCAGGCTAAAGAGTCTTTTCTATCGCTCCAGTAACCTGCAGTATTTCAAGAGGCTGATTCAGATCCCACAGTTGCCTGAGGTGAAAATAAACTATTTCAGAGTATTTTAGGTTTAAATGTAGAGTTATTTGTCTAGTGTCTGCATGCAGTGGATTATATAACCACTTCCATCCAGCGTCCAGACAAGGTGAAGGAAACGCTGCATGAAGTCACCGTCCTGTCAAGTGAAGCAGCAACAACGAAGAATCTAATCCGAAATAATCTACAAGATTGGTCAGAGTTTGAAGTGGTTCAGCGATCAAACTTGTGCCTCCTGATTCTTGCAGAACCCTCCAAACTTCCTGCGTGCGTCTGCTCTGTCGGAACACATCAGCCCCGTGGTCGTGATCCCCGCCGAGTCGTCCTCTCCCGAGTCAGAGCACGTGGTGGAGACGGACGACCTGGTGGACACGGACGTCCCTGCGCTGCCGGTAAGTTCACGGGACAAGGTTCTGTCTCTGTGTTCCTGATTAAAGGGTGAAGACGTGCCGTCAGTTAGGTGGGATCTTTCCACTGAATCCAGGGTTCGTGCAGGGTCTTAAAAAAACTAAAGCAGGATTATTCAACCAAATAGCTCCAGGGGCCACAGTTACTGCAGGCCAACAGCTGAGGGGCCGAACATCCAGCAATTAAAATTATTATGTAAATAAACCAAGCATTACAAAGATCTGTTACCTCTGAAATAGTTTATTTTGCTGCGTTTAATCATGAAAACAACATACGGAACCCTATAAAAGTAGTGATAATAAAACAATATTAAAAACAAAAATAACACATTTTGCCTAGCCTGGTTTAAACCAGACCCTGTCCTTCACTTTGCTTCATACGAGGGTCTGGACTTGCTGAATAGAGAAGCATTTCTTGCAGGAGGCGTGGCCTCTGCTGAAGTTTAAAACGATTGGATCGGTTGGCCGCAAGTGCAAGCTCCAATATGAAGGAGGCTAAGCTAAGAAGCTAACCGGAAATCGAATRCGCTGTAAGCAAGCCTACTGAGAGGAGAAAAATACCGAGCCGAACGAGACGACTGTAAATGAGAGCTGCTGCTTTGTCAGACAAATTTATTTTAATTTGGAAGTCTTATCAACACGGACTGGCTTCATTCACTTCCTCCACTGCCGTATGCTAAATTAACTAGCAGACACTGCGCAGAACATTGACGTCATTCAAAACTACGCCTTCTGTTTGTTGATTGGTCCAGGTAAAATAAACTACAAGCAGACACTGCACAGAAAATTGACGTTCTGTTCTCTGATTGGCCCGGCTAAAAATCTGCCAGCGAAATCCTGCTCTATGGGAGAAGTCCCAGACTGAGCAGAGAAGGGAAACTAGAATTGAGCGGAGCGTAGGAAGGCAAGGGCCAGGCTACATTTTGCCTCTTATTTAACACAAATATTATTTTGACTTGCCAAATTTTCAAACCAATTTTATATTCACCTTCATAGTTTTATTTTCAACTGTTTGTAGTTTTAACTGTCTTGAGTGTTTATAGAAATGTTTTTTACCAGCTTGTAGACAAGATTCTGATGTTTCTGCAGATACCAAACATGTCTATGTTTGACTAAAAAAAACTTAGAGTAATTAAAGTAGAAAACCAGGGGTTTGGACTTAAGAGACAAATCAATCAATTGGCAGGCCGAACTTTGGTCACTCGTGGGCCACATCTGGCCCGCGGGCCGCCAGTTGAATAAAATTTGAAAATCAAAATTTTAGGCCTAAAAAAGTCTTAAAAACACCCAGATTTTCATCCAAAGTCTTAAATTTTATTTTGTGTAGTCTTAATTTTTTTTAACTTTCAATCATTTCCGAGAAGCGTTGGCTGCATAAATAAAGCAAAGTAATCAGAGGTTGATGTGATCTGTCTTTGTGAAGTGCTCTGTTTGCTACCAGTCTTTGTACRCGTTTTAACTACAAATCCCATGATACCTGCAGGCAAAAATCAGTGGGTTTTTTTTGCACTCAGTTGGAAGCGGTCCACAGCAGTCTCATAGATATGACCGTTTCATTAAAATAAATTTGTTGTTCTTGTATTAAAATGAAATATTCTCTCATAGCTAAGTTGATAGCAATAAAAGGTTTCTCTATTAAAATTTTTGGGATCATTTGAATATTTTTGTTATCGCATCGGTTTGGTCTTAAATATCATTCCTAATGGTCTTAAAATATCTTTAAAAGGTCTTAAATTCAGCTTACTGAAACATGCATGAACCCTGTGAATCCCACTTTATAATACATCAGCTATAGCTTTAAGTTTATTTAGAAACGCGCACAAATAAATTAAATGGAACATCAGCCCAGATGTTCAGTCCTTTTGCATATTTATCTACAGTTCTGTGGATTTTCACCCTTTAGGCTCCCTCAGAGACGAAGTTTGACGACTTGTTTGGAACGTCAGCTGCTATCGATCCGTTTAACTTCAGCAGTCAGAATGGCATGCGCAAAGATGACAAGTGAGTTGTATTGAAACAAACGTTTTTCTAATTTTAAAATCCACCTAAAATTTGAAGAAAGAAGAAGCAATGCAGACCTCCAGGACTGTCGGTCCTTCTCTGTAGGTGTTAAAGAACACTTAAGTTTTCAGAAACCCTAAACACCAGCTTAGTAAATTGATTTCATGTTCAACTGTTTTTCTGTGTTTTCACCAGAGACCGTCTGATTGAACAGCTGTCGAGGGAGATCCAGGCCCTCAAAGAGGAGCTGGAGTCCTTCAGGCTGGAGGTAACAAGAGGAGGAGGATTTATTAACGCTSTCTTTACAGCATCCAAAGACGAGCCTTTTTCTGCATCTTTCCTTCTCGTGCATCACCAGAGCGGTCGGTTGTGTCAGGCGCTGAGGGGGCGTGTCAACGAGCTGGAGGCGGAGCTTGCAGAGCAGAGCCACCTGAGGATGCAGGCCGTGGGGGAGAGCGAGTTCCTGAAGGCGGAGCTGGACGACCTGCGGAGGGTGAGGGAGGACACAGAGAAGGAGCAGCGCAGCCTGACGGAGATCGAAAGTAAGACGTCGTTTTCTTACTTAAAGAGTCTCCTTTGCATTTGGTGGTTGTTTTCTTATTGATACTGTTAATTAAAATCAGCTTTATTTTCTAGAACTGATTTATTTATTTTTTTTAAATCAGCTGAGATGAGTGATCTGTAAAATCAAAACCACATTCCAGGAAAACTGTAACAAAATAGGAGATTACTTAAGATTTTAGCACAGTATTACAATTTCCCAAATTAGCAACAGCTTTGGAAACTATGTCAGTTAAATAAAGATTTTAATGAACAATTTACTTTATTTCTTTAATTGAACCAGAAAATTGCAGAAGAAGGAAAGGAAATATGGTAACATTTAAGGGAAAAAATGATCATGGTATTTCAAATAAACATTTCAGTTTTGATTTCTCATTAATTA